CAGAGTCTGAGTGTCGGGGCTCCATGACACCTGCAGAGCCTGAGTGTCGGGGTTCCATGACACCTGCAGAGTCTGGGATTAGGGGTTCCATGACACCTGCAGAGTCTGTGTGTCGGGGCTCCATGACACCTGCAGAGTCTGGGTGTCGTGGCTCCATGACACCTGCAGAGTCTTAGTGTCAGGGTTCCATGACACCTGCAGAGTCTGGGTGTCGTGGCTCCATGACACCTGCAGAGTCTGGGATTAGGGGTTCCATGACACCTGCAGAGTCTGAGTGTCGGGGCTCCATGACACCTGCAGAGTCTGAGTGTCGGGGTTCCATGACACCTGCAGAGTCTGAGTGTCGAGGCTCCATGGCACCTGCAGGAGTCTGAGTATCGGGGCTCCATGACACATGCAGAGTCTGAGTGTCGGTGTTCTATGACACCTGCAGAGTCTGGGTGTCGGGGCTCCATGACACCTGCAGAGTCTGGGGTGTCGAGGGGCTCCATGACACCTGCAGAGTCTGGGTGTCGGTCGGGCTCCATGACACCTGCAGAGTCTGGGTGTCGGGGCTCCATGACACCTGCAGAGTCTGGTGTCGGGGCTCCATGACACCTGCAGAGTCTGAGTGTCGGGGCTCCATGACACATGCAAAGAGTCTGAGTGTCGGTGTTCTATGACACCTGCAGAGTCTGGGTGTCGGGGCTCCATGACACCTGCAGAGCCTGGGTGTCGGGGCTCCATGACACCTGCAGAGTCTGGGTGTCGGGGCTCCATGACACCTGCAGAGTCTGGGTGTCGGGGCTCTATGACACCTAATGACAGGACAATTAATTGGCTGTTTAGGGAAACTTTTCCTCCTCTGAAGGGTTAATAGAGGCCTGAGACTTGAAGGATCCTTCCTCTCCTCCCAGCACCCCCTTCAGGGGAACTCAGCCTGTGGGCGGGGCTCCCAGAGACCAATCAGCACCCTCCCTCCCCCCCCTTCTCTATGATAAAGGGAAGGGTGGTTGACAAGCTGCCCGGTGACGTCACCCGGGGGCGTGGCCTGTGCCTTCCCAAGCCTTCAGCCTTTGCCTGCTCTGCCTGTAACAAAACCCAGATCCGGGCTAATGGAGGCTGAGTAGGGAGCAGAGCCCCTTCCATCGTCCATCATCCCCACCCCCCCTCACCTCCACACATTCAACCCTTTCTGATGATGTTACCAAGTCCAGTCACTTCCACACCTTTCTCTGTCAAAGACATCCTCAAAACGGGGCCCCAGTGCCAACCCAGGGGGCCCCAGCAGGAGCTGGACCATGGGGACTTCCAGGAGGCTTCGTGTATGCTGGACAAACTCTCCTACCTGAACTCTATAGGGGCCCCTGAGGGCCACAGCGACCTCACCCCCACAACCTATGTGCTCAAGGAAGAAGAGGAGGACGAAGATGACGAAGCCATGGGAGACCCGAGCAACAGTGAGTACAACCTCATCCTCATTGCAAGAAATACGGCAACCGGAAAAACGGCGATAATAATAATAATAATAATACAAAACGGGGAACAAAAAAAAATGAGAGAAATGATAAAAAAGAGTAATTTAGTCCTAGAAAATACAGAAGAAATAACAGACAAGTACCGAAAATGTGTACCGAGAATTGTGTACCGAGAATTGTGTACCGAGAATTGTGTACCGAGAATTGTGTACCGAGAAACGTGTACCGAGAATTGTGTACCGAGAATTGTGTACCGAGAAACGTGTACCGAGAATTGTGTACCGAGAAACGTGTACCGTACCGAGAAACGTGTACCGAGAATTGTGTACCGAGAATTGTGTACCGAGAAACGTGTACCGAGAAATCTGTACCGAGAAACGTGTACCGAGAAATCTGTACCGAGAATTGTGTACCGAGAAAAGCGTGTACCGAGAATTGTGTACCGAGAATTGTGTACCGAGAAACGAGAAACGTACCGAGAAATCTGTACCGAGAAACGTGTACCGACCGGGAGAAAACCGGCAATCAGAGAACAAAACAGAGAGAAGAAAAGTCCTAATAATAATAATAATAGAGGAATACAGCCGACAAATATATACCGACCAGAAAAATCACAATCACAGCAAAAATCCGAACTAGGGATATAAGAGGAACAATAATACTGCCGGAGGAGTTCAGGATAATAAATAATAATATACAAGAAGGGAGGAACATATAATACAGCATGACAAAGACTGGCAGCAACATAACATAATAATAATATATAGGAAGGGAGTAAATATAATACTACTAGAGGAATACAACAGGACAAATATATACCGACAACCAGAAAAAGTACCAGAGTAATAATAGTACAAAACAGGAATACAATAAAAGTAATAATAATACTACTAGAAAAATACAGCCTGACAAATATATACCGAGAAATACAGACCGAGAGTGACAGTAAACAAAACAACAAACAACAACACAAGTGAGAATAAAATAATATAATAATATAAAAACAATATAAAATATAAATAATAAATAATAAAAATAATAATAATAAATAATAACACAATATAATAATATTAAAACAATAATATAATAATAAAATAAAAAAATAATAATAATAATAACAATAAATAATAATAATATAATAATAATAAAATAATAATAATATAATAATAATAATAATAATAATAAATAATAATAAATAATAATAATATAATAATAAATAATAATAATAATAATAATATAATAATAAAAAAATAATAATAATAAAATATAATAATATAATAATAATAATAATAAAATAATAATAACAATAAATAATAATTAATAATAAAATAATAATAATAATATAATAATAATAATCCCCAAACTCTAATGTACAGCGCTGAGCAAGAGCTTTTAGCGCTATATAAATACTGTAAATAATAATAAATAGTACAAGTATGTAATGTCAGAGGAATAATAATACTACTAGGAGGAATAAAGTAATAAAATAAAGACAATAATAATACAAAACACCAGCAACATTAAAAATAATATTCATAATACTACTAGAAGAATACAGAATGATAAATATATACCGTAGAGTCATAAAAATACAAAACAGCAAAATAGAATACAAATCATAATATTATTACAAAGTGGCTGAAATATATAGAAATAATAATAATAATAGTAATACAACAACTACTACTACTACTACTAATAATAATAATAAACAACAGCAACATTTACATAGTTCCTTATTATTATTATTATTATTAAAAAAACAACAACAGCCATCCAGTGCAACCATTAAAAAAACAAATGATACTCCTACACCCACACAGGGTACAATAATACTACTAGAAGGATACAATCTGACAAATAAATCTGGCAGTCAGAAAAACAAACAACAACAAACAAAATACAAAACGATCTCAATGATGAAAACGGCAACATAATAGTGTAATAATAATTAAATAATAATAATAATAAAAATTACAAGATACAAAAGTATAGTGTCAGGAGGAAAAAGCCAGGATCTCCAAATAAGGAAATTCTAATGAAAACTGTGGGATGAGGTTTCAGGCAGGATCTCCAGGATGAAGGAAGACGGGGAATCAATGGATCTCCAACTAGAGGAGGGAAAGTTCCATTTTCCAATCTTAGGAAAAGTATGACTTTACTGGATAGGGTAGTTTGATGGTGGGAATGGACCACTCCAGCAGGGGAGGGGGGGGCGAGAGGGGGGGGCAGCAGGAATAAATTACCAAAAAAAAAATTAAGTTATGGGGCAAATTGTGCGGAGCACTCGGGGTCTGATTTCTGCCGCCATTCTTCTACGACGATATTGGCAATAATAAATAATAAAAAATAATAATAATAATAATAATAATTAAATAATAGAAAGCATCAACAATTCTAACAATACAGACAGATCCTGTAATAGTAAAGATATAATAATGATATAAAATAATCGCAACATCGTTTGAGCAAACAATAATAATAATTACAAATTAATAACAATTTCCAACAATACAGACAGCACTTTAGAAATTATATTATTATATCTCACTATTAGAGGATCTGTCTGTATTGTTAGAAATTGTTATTATTGTATTATTATTATTGTTGTTACTATGTTGCGATTATTTTACATCAAAATTAAATCTCACTATTACAGGAACTGTCTGTATTGTTAGAATTGTTATTATTATTATTATGTTGCGATTGTTGGATATTATTATTATAAAAGTATATAAAATCAGCAACAATGTAATAATAATAACAAACAGACGTATTGCGATCTGTACACAGGGCGCCGAGATACTAATACTAGGATATGAGGAAATCCCCCCCCCCCCCCCTCCAAATGCTCATTATTGGGGGAATTCTCCGTTTTCGGGAATAGAAAATCAATCGATAAATATCTGCACATGAATGGGGGGAATTGTATCAGAATAATATTCTTCTAGAATCCGATTTCTTTATGAGGAACAAATAGAGATAAAACCAATTTATAGAACAAAAGTGAAACAAAACGTATTTTCCGATCCTCACAGAAAGATAAAAATCTACATAAAGGCGACCCCCCCCCCCCCCCTACCGTCGGTCCACCCAGACCTGATCCACCCTCTTCCCTTAGATCAGCCCCCTTCCCGGGAGTCGGATGATAATACCCCACGATTTCGGTGGAATGTCTTCCTATCGCCCGATGTATGAAGGCTCGGCCCGGCTCCGAGTTTATCGCAGTTTCTGGTTTATAAAATGTAACAATTCTCCTCGGAATATTCCCTAGAATGGGATCGTTTACCCCTCCCCCCAGATATGACCACACACACAGTACGACGGACCGGAATCCACCAGATGAGATTGCCCAGCGCTGAGCACACTGTCGGCGCGATAGCCATCCGTATAATAATATTAGTATTTATAAAGTAACAATGTAACCAGAATATAATGTCGGAGCTCTAAGATCGGCTGTGTGACCACTGATGGACCGAACTGATTGGAGGGTGTCAGAGAGAGTGATGTCCCCCCCCCCCCCCCATTGGTGTCAGGAGGTCCATGGTGGAAGATCTTGCTGCTAATCTGTCCCCCCTCCCCTCTCCCACAGAGGCCTGCTACCTGGACAAGTCGGAGAAGTCGGAGGAGAAGTCGGCGGAGGAGTCGGAGAGGCCGCGGGGGCGCGGAGCCGGAGGAAGCCCCGCGTGCTCTTCTCCTCAGGCTCAGGTCTTTGAGTTGGAGAGAAGGTTCAAGCAGCAGAGGTACCTGTCGGCCCCGGAGAGGGAACACCTGGCCAGCAGCCTGAAGCTCACCTCCACCCAGGTGAAGATCTGGTTCCAGAACAGGAGGTACAAGTGTAAGAGGCAGAGGCAGGACAAGTCCCTGGAGATGGGGCCCCACCATCCCCCCCCACCCCCCCCAGGAGGGTGGCAGTGCCAGTGTTGGTGCGGGATGGGAAGCCTTGTTATTGGGGGGCAGCCAGGCCTACAACAACGCCTACAATGTAAGTGGTGGCCCCTACACCTACAACAGCTACCCGGCCTACAGCTACAGCAACAGCCCCCCCTACAGCACCAACTACAGCTGCAGCTACTCCGGCATCCCCCCCATCCAGCACAACCCAGGGACCACCCCCTTTACCAGCATGGGCAACCTCAACCAGCTGGGCAATGCCACACAAGGCCAGAGCCACACGGGGCCCCATCAGTGCCCACCTGCCAGGGGACTTTACAAGGGATCCGAGCCTGGTAGGACTGGCACAGGGACTTCTGTACTGGACAGCAGCCAGGGGCCACAGACCCCAGGATCCGGGGAGGTTTCATGACCCGGAAGGGTTCCCTCACCCAAGGGGGTTTTCATGACCCAGGGGGGTTCCCTGACCAAAGGGGGTTTCATTACCCACAAGGGTTCCCTCACCCAAGGGGTTTCATGACCCAGGGGGGTTCCATGACCCAGGAGGGTTCCCTCACCCAAGGGGGTTTCATTACCCACAAGGGTTCCCTCGCCCAAGGGGGTTTCATGACCCAGGAGGGTTCCCTCACCCAAGGGGGTTTCATGACCCAGGGGGGTTCCTTGACCAAAGGGGTTTCATTACCCACAAGGGTTCCCCTCACCCAAGGGGGTTTCATGACCCAGGGGGGTTCCATGACCCAGGAGGGTTCCCTCACCCAAGGGGGTTTCATTACCCACGAGGGTTCCCTCGCCCAAGGGGGTTTCATGACCCAGACTGGTTCCCTCACCCAAGGGGGTTTCATGACCCAGTGGGGGTTCCCTCACCCAACAGAGTTTCATGACCCAGGGGGGTTCCCTGACCCAAGGGGGTTTCATGACCCAGGGGGGTTCCCTGACCCAAGGGGGATTCCATGACACTGAGGGCTCCTTGACCCAGCAGAGGTTCCATGACCCTGGGGGCTCCCTGGCCCAAGGGGGTTCCACAACCGGGGGGGGTTCCCTGAGCTTGGGAACTTTTTGACCCCAGAGAGTTTCATGACCCAAGGGTGCTCTCTGACCCGGGAGGGTCATGACCCAGAGGGGCTCCCTTTCCCAGGGGGGTTCCTTACCCAATGGGTTCTGTGACAATGGGGGGTTGATAGGGGGCTTCCAGGGGGGCTCTTTGACCTGGGGGTTTCATAGCCCAAGAAGGGTTCATGTCCCAGGGGGCTTCATGACCCATAGGGGTTTGATGACTCAGGGAGGCTTCCTTACTCAAGGGGGGTTCATGATCCAGGGGGATCCATGACCCAGGGGGGCTCCCTTGCCAAGGGGGGTTCATGACTCAGAGGGGCTCCCTTGCCCAAGGGGGGGTTCATGACCCAAGGGGGCTCCCTGACCCAGGGGGGTTCCATTGCCCAGGGTGTCTCCAAGGACCAGCCATCAGATACTGTGATATGAGGTATTATTATCATCTTTATAAACTGGCTGATGGCTGAGCAACCGGAGAAAACTCCGACACCAACCGACACCAACCGACACCAACCGACACCAAGCAACACCAACCGACACCAAGCGACGTCGACCGACACCAAAGCGACGTCGACCGACACCAAGCGACGTCGACCGACACCAAGCGAGGTCGACCGACACCAAGCAACACCAACCGACACCAAGCGAGGTCGACCGACACCAAGCGAGGTCGACCGACACCAAGCTCGTGATCACCAGCCTTTCAATGGATGCCTTAACCCCTTACCTCCCGCGGACGGGGCAAATGACAGCAAGCCGGACCCAGGGGATACATTGTGTGACACAGACAATGGACGGTGCTGGCTGTCAGTGTATGGCAGCTCTGTGTCTATAGCACTCTACAGCTGGACTACAAATCCCAGCAAGCCTGTACCCTAACATAGCCGGACAGGCAATGGACATGAGATAAGTATTGGAAACATATTGATCTCTGATCAGCACATTTCACAATCAGTTTATGATGTCATAAAAGGTTCAAGATTGAGATCTAAAAGGATCCACCCTCTTCCATACTATCCTGGGGCCCCTGAAATCTAGATTGATCCACCCTCTTCCATAGTACCCTGGGGCCCCTGAGATCTAGATGGATCCACCCTGTTCCATATAATCCTGGGGCCCCTGAGATCTAGCTGGATCCATCCTCTTGCAAAGTACCCTGGGGCCCTGAGTTCTATATGTATCCACCCTCTTCCATACTATCCTGGGGCCTCTGAAATCTAGATGATCCACCCTCTTCCATATAATCCTGGGGCCCCTGAGATCTAGATGGATCCATCCTCTTGCATAGTACCTGGGGCCCCTGAGTTCTATATGGATCCACCCTGTTCCATACTATCCTGGGGCCCCTGAAATCTAGATGGATCCACCCTCTTTCCGAATAATCCTGGGGCCCCTGAGACCTAAGATGGATCCACCCTCTTTCCATATAATTCCCTGAGATCTAGATGGATCCATCCTCTTGCATAGTACCCCTGGGCCCCTGAGTTCTATATGGATCCACCCTCTTGCATAGTATCCTGGGGCCCCTGAAATCTAGATGGATCCACCCTCCCCTTCCATAGTAAACCCTGGTGCCCCCTGAGATCTAGATGGATCCACCCTCTTCCATATAATCCTGGGGCCCCTGAAAATCTAGATGGATCCACCCTCTTCCATAGTACCCTGGTGCCCCTGAGTTCTATATATCCCACCCCTCTTCCATATCTATCCCTGGGGCCCCCTGAAATCTGATGGATCCACCCTCAATCCATATGTCTACCCCTGGTGCCCCCCTGAGATCTAGATGGATCCACCCTCGTCTTCCATATGTACCCTGGGCCCCTGAGATCTAGATGGATCCACTCTTTTCCATATATACCCTGGGGCCCCTGAGTTCTAGATATATCAAGCCTCTTCCATATTATATCTTGGGGTCCCTGAGTTCCAGGTGAATCTACCCTCTTCCATATGGCCCTGGGGCCCCTGAGATCTAGATGGATCCACCCTCTTCCATAGTACCCTGAAGCCCCTGAAATCTAGATGGATCCACCCTCTTCCATAGTACCCTGGGGCCCCTGAGTTCCAGTTGAATCCACCCTCTTCCATATGGCCCTGGGGCCCCTGAGATCTAGATGGATCCACCCTCTTCCATAGTACCCTGGGGCCCCTGAGTTCCAGTTGAATCCACCCTCTTCCATATGGCCCTTGGGCCCCCCTGAGTTCTATATGGATCCACCCTCTTCCATAGTACCCTGGGGCCCCTGAGATCTAGATTGATCCACCCTCTTCGATACCTTGGGGCCCCTAGAGTCAGGAGTAAGCTGGTCACACACAGTCAGATATCGATCAGGTAAACCGACATCTATGCAGTGGGGGGGAGGAAAGGGGGGGGGGGGATTCTTTGGGATAATTTTGTATGTGAATTATCGGTGCATTTTCCTTCACGTTATCGATGTCGGTGTGCAGATTATTATTGGTGGGAAAATTCACCAACATGACGATCCATACAAATAAAATGTCCTGAAAAATGAACTCGAACTGCCCCCCCCCCATTATCCCCCCATCTATCCCCCCAGATATCCCCCCCATCTAAACCCCCCCATCTATACCCCCCATCCCCCATCTATACCCCCCCCATCTATACCTCCCCAATCTACCCCCTCATCTATACCCCCCATCTATCCCCTCAATCTACCCCCCATCTATACCCCCAATCTATACCCCTCCAATCTACCCCCCCATCTATACCCCCAATCTACCCCCCATCTATACCCCCAATCTACCCCCCCATCTATACCCCCCAACTATACCCTCCCATCTATACTCCCCAATCTACCCCCCCATCTATACCTCCCCAATCTACCCCCTCATTCGATACCCCCCCCCATCTATCCCCTCAATCTACCCCCCATCTATACCCCCAATCTATACCCCTCCAATCTACCCCCCCCATCTATACCCCCAATCTACCCCCCATCTATACCCCCCAATCTACCCCCCCATCTATACCCCCCAACTATATACCCTCCCATCTATACTCCCCAATCTACCCCCCCCCCATCTATACCTCCCCAATCTACCCCCTCATCGATACCCCCCCCCATCTATCCCCTCAATCTACCCCCCATCTATACCCCCAGTCTATACCCCTCACAATCTACCCCCCCATCTATACCCCCCAATCTATACCCCTCCAATCTACCCCCCCATCTATACCTCCAATCTATACCCCTCCAATCTACCCCCCCATCTATACCTCCAATCTATACCCCTCCAATCTACCCTCTCATCGATACCCCCCCATCTATCCCCTCCAATCTACCCCCCATCTATACCCCCAATCTATACCCCTCCAATCTACCCCCCCATCTATACCCCCAATCTACCCCCCCATCTATACCTCCCCAATCTACCCCCCCCATCTATCCCCCCCAATCTACCCCCCATCTATCCCCCCCAATTTGCCTTCCTATCTATCCCCCCCAATCTACCCCCCATCTATCCCCCCAATCTACCCCCCATCTATCCCCCCAATCTACCCCCCAATATATCCATCTGATTGTGTGTATATGGTTTATATGGACTATTATCGGAACAATATAAATCTGACCAGTGTGAGCCCCCACACCCCCCCCCACCCCCCGTTTGTACAATTCCTGGACCCTCCATAATCCTTTGTGCCCCAATATTGGACCCCCCCCATATATGAGAAGCGTATTTATCGGTGTATAAGCGTCCTGCTATCTCATTACTGCTGTTATACAGTATTGGCTCTGTCATGTCTCTATCATACATGGAACGATCGCTCTGTAGAAATCGATCATCTATGGCTGTCATTGTACATATCGCACCTTCTACCTTCATATCTGTACACAGATCCATGCACTAAACCCAATAAAACCCAAAGGTGCAATATCAGCCCTGTTGCTGGTGTGTCCATGTTGTATTCATGACTCTTCTCATTATAACCCATTGCTGGTGACCTGGGGGATGGGAGAGACTGTGATTGGACCACGTGTGGGATCCAGAAGGACCGTACTGGTCAGTATATTCAGTGTATGGGGAGTTGGGGTTCAGGGGTGACATGTGACGCTCTCAGTCCAGTATTATGGGAGGTGACGTGGAGAGGGGGACATGCCATCTGAGAGGGGGATGGGGGCCCAGGGAATGGTTATGGGGGTCCCCCGATTTCTGGGGCTCATCGAGGAAATACAACAAATGAGGCCATTGGCTGTCCCAGAGACTCTGAGATGAAGGGGGAGGGGGGGGGATCTACAATCCATTTTCTGATCTTTGTTTGCACTTTTGTT